TCGTTTTCCGACTTTTTCAAGGCAAAAATTAAATCAAAATGTTTTTGTTGTTATAGTTACATTAAAAAATCCAAATTTAAAAAGATAGATGCTTCTGTCTAAGTTTTTGTTTTTTTTGTTTTTTTTTCTGGTTAATGTAAATTACCTTTATAGTAAGGGATTTTTTTTTTTCCCATGTCGACAATATAGTTAAATTCCCAGATCAATTCTGTGGACAAGACAGATTGGTATAAAATTTGAAAAAGTCGGAAGACGAAATGCGTCGACAAAATCTAAGATTTTTTTTCCAATTGTCATTTTATACCAATATGTCTTGTCCACAGAATTGATCTGGGAATTTAACTATATTGTTGACATGAAAAAAAAAGAAAAATCTATTACTATAAAGGTAATTTACATTAACCAGAAAAAAAGGCTTAGACAGAAGCATCTATCTTTTTAAATATGGATTTTTTAATGTAACTATAACAACAACCTTGCTAACCAAACACTCCTCTGTGGCCCAATAGGTTAAGGCATGTCAGGCTATATGACGGTTCAGTATAGGATACAGGTTCGATATATATATATATATATATATATATATATATATATATATATATATATATATATATATATATATTTAAAGAAAAATAGACCACTTTAAGGTACCATTATAATAATTTATTTCACCAGAACCCTTTTAAAGGATGCGGATCATCAGATAGCACTTCCAAAAATGAAAAATGAAATTAAAATTGATGGGTAGTGTAAGTTTTTGTAATTTAACAGAGAGTGTAAAAGAAGTAGTTAAAGAGACATGGTAGAGTTTAGGGAGGGATTAATTTCATATCTCTCTCAATCATACTTTGTATTGGGGGAGGAGGAGTGACAGGACCTTGACTTATTTAGATATTGAAATGGGAGGGGAGAAGGGAGAAAAGAAAAATACGGATTATCAAGTTCTTCATAACTTAACTATATATATATATATATATATATATATATATACAGGTATGATGAGAACAAATTGAGTACACTTTCAACATTCATAATATTTAATTTAAAAGAAGGTTCAATACATAGTAGAGCAATATTGTTTATTTTAGGATATTACTGCAAAAACATGTAAGAATTGATAAACAATTTATTTTTCAAAAAATGAGCATGTATTTTGCTTTTGAAACCAAATTAATCGTTCACTCGCCAGTAATTTACAATCGGCTGAGGAGACGCATTATTATGACTGCAATTGCATAGAGATTCTTACATGTTTTTGTTGTAATATCCTAAAATAAATAATATATATATATATATATATATATATATATATACACACACACACAGACAGAGGGTGTATCAAAATATTTATTAATATTTTGAAGCTTTCTCAAGAAATAATTAAAGTAACTAGAACCAACTATATCTCATTTAAATAATGCACATGAAGACAGTATTTATTATAAATGTATATCATTGCATACTTTCGTATTAATGTCCATTGCGATCCAAACATTGCTGACAACGTGGCGCAATGGAATCACAAACAGTAATCAAAATTTCAATATGTATTTGGCTGCATTCTTGGCTATGAAAGCTTTAATTTCCAAGATTGTTGATGGCTTTTTAGCATAGACTTTATCTTTTAAGTATCCCCACAAGAAAAATTCTAATGGGGTGATATCCGATGAATGAGAAGAATATTCTACAGAACCTTGTCTTCTGATTCATCTTGCTGAAAATAAAATTCTTCATCTCCCATAATTTCTCTAATTCTTGACAGGGTCAGTGTTAGTGTGTATAAATGTTTTTGAGACACCCTGTATATACAGGGTGCGATGGATAAATTGTCATCTAAATTACACAAAAATGAAAATAACACTTGTCATCTCATTTTAACAGATATATTTACCAAAATTACACAAAAATATCTTGATATACCAAAGAATAAAATTATTCAATAAAATCACCATTGGCTTCAATCATGGCCTCCAGACGACTTCAGAATCTCCTGCATCTCTTCTGGACGATCTCTTTGTTTAAGTTGGCGAATGATGCTATAATCCTTGCCTTCAATGCTTCTTTGGTGTTTTTCATTTTTTGTTACAAGGAGTTTTGTTGTTTTATATATTTGCATTTATCATGCTCTCCTCATACAAGTTAAACTTACAATAAAATAAATATGATAACCAAACACAGAGAAAAGATGAATGTGTACCCCACACATAATAATCAAAGGAGTTGCAGTCTGAGGTTTTGGGGTGGCCTAATGTAAGGAGTGATGTAGTCACAGAAATTGTCTGACAGTCATGACTGGGTTCTCCTGCTTGTGTGGTATGGCGCAGAGTCCTGTTGCCAATGATAGGGTCTTCAGCAGCCAGAGTAGCGATACCTCTTCAAGAAACTTGATGTAGGCCTCCATGTTGAATCTGAGGCCCTGTAGGAAGATGAAGGAAGGTATAATGTTGCCATCACTAGTGATCACTCCAAACACCATGATGTTGACTGGATATATCATCCAACTCTTTCCAGGTCCTCTGCAGCGTCCTCAGATTGACACCCAAACCCTCTGAAATGCTTGTATTAGAGCTCCTGGTGTAAATGCCAAGCAGTACAGCATGCCGTTTCCAAATTTCTAGTGCAGAGAATTGCATCATGATGCGCTTTTTCTTGCAAATATTGCCCAACTCACCCTACTATACTGTGCAGTCAGCAAAATAAAAACATGCATGCACGAAATTAAAAATATAAAAATATAAAATGGTGACAATTTATCTATTGCGCACAAAGATTTATATATATATATATATATTGATAATATTAGTGGTCAATATATATATATAGAGAGAGAGAGAGAGCCAGTGTATGTACAAGACAGAGCAAGAATATTATGAGTCAATGTAATAAATTATAACCATAGAATATTAGTGTTGAGCCTTTTATATATATATATATATATATATATATATATATATATATATATATATATATATATATATCTTTGTCTGCCAATATAGATGTGATTTTGTATTTTATAGTTTATTAATTATTTTCTCTGTAATAATAAATACATTGAGCTCTTTTTGTGGATCAGTTTTAATATTTTATATTACTAGAATCCACTTGGATTATATAGCAATGGATTTATTACATTTACTATATATATATATATATATATATATATATATATATATATATATATATTATTTTTAAACATTATATTTTCCCAAACCCTGTTCTACCATTTATTTAATCAAGACCATCTAGTTAAAATTCATTAATATTTTAGAAATTATATATATAAATATATATATATATATATATATATATATATATATATATATATATGAACTGTAAGCCTTGCTATATGCCTGAATGTGCTGCAGCTGTCGCTTGCTGTTATTATTATTTCTATCTTATCATTGGAAAAAATGTTTTGCTAGACCCATGCTTTGTCCTCCTAATCCTCCTAATCTTCACTTTGTACTTCTCTCCTCTTTCATTCTTATCACACACCTGATTCATCATTACCATTTTAACAGTAACCCTCTACATGAGTGGGTCTTGAGTATAAGGTGAATTTTAGTATTAAAGACAAAATTAAGGTGTATTAAAAGTATTTTCACTTTTACAGACCTTTAATTAATTTAATCATTTCTTACATATACTGTCCTTATTTTTACCAACCCTCTTCCATAAAAGCACATGGCTTTTTTTAACCAATATACCCACGAAAAGGAAGGCATGGTGGAGTAATGGATAGTGACTCAAATTGAGAAATCAGAGAGCCCATTTTGAATTCCAGTCAAATCCATTACATTCACTTACATGCTAGTACCTTTGGGAAAGGTATGAATCCTCTTCTTTCTGCTCCCAGCTATGAGTAAATAGCAGGACAGACTGGGTTCTATAGTCTTGGATGGTAACTGGTCTACCGCAGAAAGAAATGGCAACATACTGCGGGGAAAAATCTGCCTCGTCAGTCATGTATTGAAAGAAAAAAAAAACCTTGTCAAAAGGAAGGCTTTTCTCCTGACACAGCTACTACTGTATATGTCCTCAACAATGTTTATTGTTTTGAAAAAGCTATGTTTAGAATTTTACAAAACAGTATTTATTCTTTATTATTTACCATGTTATAAATAAATAACTATGAAAACAATTAAAAATTCAGAAAATTAGAAAAACAGCAAAAAATATCCATATATCAATGATGTAAGCTCATTTTCAAACTCAGCACTTGCAAATAATAACTAGGTCTAATAACACTGTAAAAAGTCAGGGATTGATTTTACACTGTGTTGATATTATGAACAGGACTCCCTCTTCTAAATTGATAAAAAAATCAATCTTTTCTTTATTCTGACAAATGTTGTTGCTTCAAGAAGATCTAATGAATGTTAATCTACAAAAATTATCCTCTCACCATTTTTTTTTTCATTTTTTATGAGTACACCAACCTATTTAAATACCAGGTGTTTTGACTTCTGTCATTTTCTCACCAACATAACATGGCTTCCCACTGTCTTTTCTACAAATATTTTCATGTCAACTGGTCTGATGAGCTTTTTCCCTTGGTACCCTGACCACATGAATTTAAACATGCTACTATATTGGCAACTAGGTCTCACCATTTTACTGTTGAACCAGCTAGATGAAACCACCACTTCTACTTCAACAGTTTCTTTTCTTGCACTTTCTACTCTTTTCTGATTTCTTGCTTCTCTGATATCTACAATCTTCAAAAATTTAAGTGTAATGTCAGTTGCCATTTTCTGTCTTCTTGAACCCTGTTCCTTTTTACCCTTTCCTCAATCCTCCCCATTCTCAGTATTCTTATTCTCTTCCAATTTCACTCCCTGTAATCTCTTGCACTCTAGTGGCGTAATTGCCTTGCTTGGGGTGATATAATTAAAAGAAAATGCTGTTTTATCATTTATTATCAATAATCATTATTTCCTGTTATTCTGTCTTGCTTATTACCATTGTCTGTTATTATCCTATATTATCATATTTTTCAGGGATTAATGATACCTGGAATCAAACTTAATTGCCAAGTGGAGTTCTTACCTGTTGAATGGCGATATTATTATGATTGTGTACGAATCAACTGTCCGGTAAATTTTCAAAATCTTTCTTACATTTCATTTTTGCCACTTTTAGTTATAGCATTGACAATCTATGAATATTAAACAAACTTTCTTGTTCTTTTAATTTTATTCTTAGAAGGGAATGAATAAAAATTATAACTTTACTCTCCTTACAAATGACAATGAATCCTGGTGAAGTAATATTGTTTAAGTTATAAATTCTTGATGGAAGCTTATAACTGTCACAGTTCTTGATAGGCATGCAACATGGAAGTGAAAAGAGAAAAATGATAACATGGGTATGTTAAATGGGATCTTCTGTTGTTCCAGGCTTATGGCCACATCATGTTGAAACACTGGTTCCTGGACAATTACTGAAGTTAATCAACTGAATTTGAGCCTGGTCAGTATATGGATGGGTGACTGTCTGGGAAAACCAGGTGCTGTAAACTTGGATTTTCAGGTGGTGTAATAGATAATGGTTTGGAATTGTTAATTCTTGTTGGATTTATTATAGTCACTTACACACAAATACACTTGGGAATTGGGAATCTGCCTCTTCTCCCCCAGCTATAGGTTAATTATTAAGCCTTGTATCACTAAACCATTATTATTTTTAAAAAAATTATTACAATCTAAAAGTATTTTCTGGCTTTAAATAACCTGCATAGGGTTGATAAGCCCTAGAAAATGAATCAATCAATAAAATTCTATTGTTCCAAGAAAGAACTGAAAGCTAACAGAGAATGGAAAGTGCAATGCCGGAATCCAAACGCACATTTGATGAGCAGATGACACATTCCAAAAGTGAACCAAAGTGATGAGAAATGAAAGAATGTCTTTAGAAATGAAGAAAAGGGTCCTCGATTGCTATATAGTATCCATCCTCTTATATGACAGGGAATGCTGGACAATTTCTCCAAGGGTGAAGAAAAAGACTATAAAAGCTGAGAAATGTAGTTCTACAGAATGATGTTGAGAATGCCATGAATGGAGTGAGTAAGCAACAAGGAAGTATGAAAGAAAATGGCAATAGTGAGATCATGTATACTCAAAATCAGGAAAAGACAACAGAAATTCCTTGGAAAAGTAATGAGGAATGAGGGTTTGGAAATGGGGCATGTTGAGGGTAAGAGAGATAGTGGAAGGCAGCTTGTATGAATGGATGGGGAAATGCATGGCAGGTGCCATGGAAAGGGGATAACCACACAAGATAGAAAGTGGGGGAGAGCCTTGATTGCCTATGTCCTGAACGGACACAGCACATAGAAGAAGAAGAAGAAGAAGAAGAAGAAGAAGAATGTTCAGCTATTAAATAAAATTGTTTTGCATCTTATTTTTGATTAGTTTATTTACTGCTAAATAAAAATAAAACAAGATAAATATCCTCTTCTTTCTTTCTATGTACCATGTCCTTTCTTGATGTACGCAATCATGGCTCTCCACCTCCCTCTATCCCTTGCAGCTTTCAACAAGTTCCTTCCCTTTGCTACCTCCCCCAGACCATGTTCTGTCATCCACTTGGTTAAGGCTGCTAGGTATGTCATGCATTTTTTTCCTCTTGTCTCACTTTCCCTCTATTCGACACCTGAGTATCAGATTCTCCAGGCCCTCCTTCCTCATTATGTGTCCCAGGAACTTCAGCTGCTTCTTTCTGATGTTAAGTATAAGCCTCCTCCTTGTTTGCATCCTCTCTAACACCTCATCTTTGCTTACATGCTCAGTCAATGTTATCCTTAGCATCCTTCTGTAGAACCAGATCTCCATCACCTCAAGTCTTTTCTTCATCTTTGAGGAAATCGTCCAACATTTACTGCCATAAAGAAAGACAGATGTCACGTGACAGCTTAGTCTTGCAATCCTCTGCCCAGATTTTGGAATACGTCCTTGGCCATCCCAATACGTCTATGGATCTCTGTGTTACATTTACCGTCCTCTGTCAGAACGCTTCCCAGATATTTAAACTTCTGTGTCTGCTTGATTCTAGTGTTCCTGACCTGCAAATTGTATTTCAGGCTCATCCTTTTACTGATGACCATGCATTGTGTTTTCTTGTAGTAGTTAATGCTTAGTCCCTTCTTCACACTCTCTGTCACTACCTTCTGTAGAAGATTTTGTAATTTCTTTTCTGTGTCTGCTATCAGTACTGTGTCATCTGCGTATCTTATGTTGTTAAGATTGTGGCTGCCAATGCTAAATCCTGGTAGTGTTTCCAGTTCTCTCAGAATTCCCTTGCTGTATGTCAGGTCAGGTGAGAAGATGCATCCTTGCCTTACACCCCTTTCTATTTTTGTATATTCACTGAACTTGTTCTCTATACGCCTTCATGTTGTTTGCTGCCAGTATAGGTTCTTGATTATTCTGATGTCTTTCCTAAATATTTCAAGGTTGCTGAGCAGTTCCAGCAGATCCTTGTGGCATACTTTGTCAAAGACCTTTGCGTAGTCTATGAAATATAGTGTTGAAACTTGAGTAATGCTTGGAATAATAATACAACACAAAATGTACTTAGAACAAAATGTATTGAAACAAGAAAGGTACACAATATTTACATATAGTCTTTTGTATATTCTTGGGAAGACCGTTCCTGGAGAATGTGTTGACTTAGTCGCAATCGGGCAGAGTCTCTGGATTGAATCTCTTGATTCCTCTCCCTCATCTTCCCGGTACCACCCATATTTATATGGTCGGTACTCCACTATGTAAATTAGGTGGATCCTACCACAACATATAGATACAAGTCCTGCATTTGTATCACTCTTTTCGTCAGGGGTAGTATATTACTGTGGTGGGAAAGCTACTGTAGCCAAGATGCCAGATCAGGAGCAATAACATTGCAGATTCTTCAAATATGGTCATCAGAAAGAGAAAAAGACCTAAGATGCAATTTAAAAAATACGAGATATAAACGGATGCAGGACTTTAAATATCTAGGAAGCATTTTAACAGAAGATTGAAAATGCTACACCTAGATATATGTATTGCACTTGCCTCTCTGTTACTCAATACTATCACTTAACTAAGATAGTTTCCAAATAGTGGGGAAAATAAAAACTACAAACACAGTCAAGATCTTCATCTTTTGCTGTATGTAGTTTTTTTTTCCTATTGTTCACTAGTTTATAGCCATTACTTTCACTTTTTGTTTCTTTAAATCATACACAGTGGTTGTTCTGACACCATATTCATCAGTCAGATGCTGCACAGGAACATTGCGATCAAGTTTCTGCAAAAGCTCTATTTTTTTAGTGTTATTGATAAAGAGAGATGCTTCCTTTTCTTTTTCTCACTGTTACGCATTAGTTTATCTGCAGTTCTTTCTGACATTTTCACTGTATAAAGTCACAAAAATTACAAAAAGAAAAAAAACATTATTGAACAACACACTCATGTCTACCCAATACAAGTGCTTGTAAACAAACCAGTTAGTGGCATATGTTAACATCTTTGTTGTCAAATCCAGACCTTTACTGTCAGGTTGATCAGCCAGGTTGCGAGAGTGATGGACAGAGTCAGGATGATCATGACACCTGTTGCTATGTTATACGTAAATGGCATTGGTCAAGTAGGTAAGCTTTTTGTGTGCCAAACTCCATACTAAAGATATTTGATTTTCCAAGGTTTTCAGTTTTCAGATATTCAAATATAAGATTGTCACCTTGTAATGATAATAATAATAGTGGTGTCATAGTTTTTGAATGTTTACATGAAATAAGTTTTGGAGTAGAGATCAGTAAGAAAATAAAAATTCTTTTGCTACACTTTAATATATAATAATAATAACAATGTTTTTGTTTGTTTGTTTTTCTTTCCGCTTGCACTGTTAGACATTGCTGGGAGACACAGTCATCTGTTAGTCACAAGGCAAGTGGCTTGGAGGAGAGATATCTTGTGGGCTCTGAAGGTGTCTGCACTGAGTTGCTCCAGCATCCTCTTGGTCTGCCTCTCATTCTCCAGTCAGTGTACCTGAGGGTGTATGCTCATAGGGCTGGTTGGTTGATAGGCATACGAGTGAGGTGTCCGAACCACTTGATCCTCTGTAGTTCGATGTGTTGCATGATTGGTATTGCTCCTATGATATCTCTTGTTGCCTCATTCCTGATCTTCTTTCACCCAGTCTTGTTCACTGCTTTTCTCAGGCATTTCATCTCATAAATGATCAGTTTCCTCTCAAGGTTTTTTGTTAGGAGCCATGTCTGGCACTGGTATGTCAGCATTGGTAGGAAAATGGTGTTGATGAGATTTGCCTTGGTGCTCATGGAAATGCTAGGAAATTTTAGAAGAGGAGCAAGTTGGTAACTGACTGTGTTGGCTTTCTGACATCTGGAAATTGAGACCAAATGTCAGAAAGCCAATAATAACAATAATATGGTTTAATCAAAGACAGTCTTTTGATGTGTACATGAAATAAACTTTTGGAGTAAAGGTCTTTAAAAAGAGAAAATTATTTTGATACACCATAATATTTAATAATAATATTAATGGGTAATAATAATATTACATTGGGTAAGTCACCAGATAATGGGTGAGCGATGGAGGAAATGAATATTCTTCCAGTTTGTAATCCCCCCATTATGGGCATTATTATAGCCATGATATAATAACACTTTATTTCACAGCTGGAACAGAATAGCTGAAAGAAAAGGAATTACAAACCTGCTTTGTTCTCAGAGAGAGTTTTATGCTGCTAAGTCATCCACAAAATTATATGGACATATTTACATATGTCCCATGCAGAGAAATTATAACAGATATATGCAACAACAAGCAGTGTGAAAAGAAGATAAAATGAGAGTCTTACTTGTAATAATTCGCAACAGGATATGGAGCTGCCAGAGATTCTTCTGTGTTTTGGGAGAAACCATATTTAGGATACTAGATTTGAGTAGGCCAGACTTATTTGCAATATCATTAACAAAGACATATTCCTCTCAGATGGGAAGCAGCGTGCCATAGGTTTTTCCCTAATTGAGAACTGCAAGCTTGAGATAGTATCGGTATCTAGTGAAGATATATTTCTATAGGAA